ATAAATATTATTTTATGCATAATATGGCTTGAAGACGGGGTGTGTGGCTCAGTGGTAGAGTCTCTGCCTGCGGATCCAAGGGTCCCAGGTGCCTTGGTAGGATTTCCCACTCGACCATTCACTGTTGGGTACTAATTAACAGTGCTGTTCCTAAAGTGGCACTGGGAAACAGTAACAAAGCCTACACAGAACACGAGGCTAATAACCGTAGCAGTTGATGCCGATGACACAAAAAAAAATATATGGCTTGAAAAATCGATAACGACTGCGGTAGTTTTTTTTTATTTTTTGAACTTGTGCGACTACTGGGACAATTTTTGCACAAATTTTTATATAATAATGTTTATATTATTACAATAAAATTTGTATACTATCAAAATTTCTATACCATTATCATTATACCTAATGCTTTCAATTATATACAATCACTTTTCACAGTGTAGTTTTTAGGTTATTTAAAAAAAGTCAACTAAAATTTTACTTGATTACGTTAGCACCAGAGGTTCCTTTGGTTTTTCGGACTCTGGTCAAGCTACAAATTCGCAGAGAACTACAAAAAACCACCAGGTCCTGTATAGTACCGCCACAGAGTGCTCGCTAGCTTGAGGTTTAGACATTAGATTTCTTAATCGATGCATTGGCAAAAAGGTTTCAATTGAAAGGTACCTTAGTTCATCCGATTTAAAACCTTATTTTCTAATGGGATTACTTAAAGACTGAATATTTGACTGATTTTCTTCTAATGACTTAAACATAATTTGACTGGACTAAAAGATAGATCGTAAAGGAGTAAATGAGGATTGTCCTAAACATAATAAATACGCGACGTTACTATTTATACAGTAAATAGTATTTTTCTTTATCAAATTACCAAGTAATTGTACTAATTAATTGTATACGATAAAACTTTTCCATTTCAAAATGAGAAATAACACAATAAAAGATAGTAGGTCAACAAATTCGAAAATAAGAAATATCTGTTTTTCTTTCGTAATTATAATTATATACATATCCAATTTATTATAATAAAATAAACAAAAGATATCTGGTAAAAATAAAAGAAACAAAAATAAACATTGACATTTATTTAGATCTTAACTTTAATAATACCATTTTACGATTATTTATACATACGAAACTTTTGGCTGACTGCGATTGTTTACATACTACCAGTCTAAATTTAACGTAATTTGCTAAAAAAAGTTACGTTCCAAACTAACATATGTGCCGGTATGAAATAACACATCATTTTTTTACAACCAATAATTAATCATTTTATAGATATAAAATTGATGATTTGGTATAAACAACAAATTTTCGTAATTATACAAAGTTCAACTGTTCTAAATTTCGCAGATATGATTTATTGTAATTACGAAAATAATAATTATTTTTTCTATGTAATATAAGAACAGCTTACTTTTTAAAAATTGGAAATATAATTTTATTAAAATGAGCAGCCAATATGCATGTAAATAAACTATTTTTATGTAGTATAAAATTCTAATTAAGAACTAAACACAATTTTTATTTATTAATAATGCTAGTACTGTTTAGAAATTATAGAATAAACATGAGCTTAAACTTGAAATAAAACGGTTTAGCCTTATATATCAAGAAAGAGGCTTACTGCGAAGTGATAAATGAAATAAATGTTGTGTTGATCTTACAAAAGGAAAACTGTTAACCAAACTACAGGGTGATCACTCACATCACTTCACAGGATGCCTCTTTTTGACATTTCAGGCCACATCGTTTTATCGCATCCATTTTGATTTCAAAATTGAAAAAAAAAATATGTTTAGATAGGTACTTATAAATTCTGAATTGGATTCATAAACTTATATAAGAGACTAAGGTGACTAAGGGTCAAATAAAATACTCCATTAGGCTTCAGTATGTAAATGAAGACGAAGTCAGACGAGCCCAGAAAAAAAAACTCTTGGACAGGGTAGCTACTGTCACAAAATTGCAAATGTAAGGGTGGTCATATTTGAGAGTTTTTAATTATCTGTTCAACGATATAAAGTAATTTATGAGTTTATATTATTCGTAGATCCAACCCTTAACATACGGCATACGATTTTGATGCAAATCCATTTAAATATAAATAAAATGAAATTGTAAAACATCGTATCTTGCATCATGTGCCTCGACCTCGGCAATGAAATCTACATTTAGATAGGATGATGATTGGCTTAGGTAACTGGCAAATTATCTTTTCATTACATCCAGTAGGTAAATATTTGTCGAAATTAGAAAGCATTTAAATCATTTTATTATACAATCAAATGTTAAATTTAACAATGATAAAGGCATTAATAGTTATTTATGCAACAAGTGCAAAAAGTAAGTGTTTATTGTACGCGACGCCAGGCCTAGTTGGATAACACGTCGAGTGCAATAAACACTTTTTTCACTAGTTGCATACAATATTTTTTCTTCGTTCATGCAAAAACCAAAAAATGTTTTATTCAGGCGACACTAAGTGCAGAAGAATAAAAAGCTTTGCCATTTAATTTTTATCATTTGAAGCAGCGTTGTCAACTTATCCTGTGTGAAAAAATCTCGAAACTAGAGAAATTTACAATCATTCCATTATAAACATAAATGTAATTAGAGTGGCTGCAGAAATCATCTTATTGATAATAATTTATATGCATTGCCTACAAAACACTAGTTTATTTGTACACAAAACTTCGCTATTTATTTCAAACACTTTTATTTAAGAATATTTATCTTAACACAAATCGATCTCTAAATATATCTCAAACGGCAAAATTCCGCTATTTATATAAAAATGCGGCGCGTCAGACATGTTCTCGAAGGTAATAGATGTTCTAGAATGGACTAGACCAGAATCGGTGACGTTTCGGAAAGTTTCTACAGCTTTCATCTCGCAGACTGAACGATGATCTTGTTAGCTTAGGCGTATTAGATAAAAGGGGATTCGGAGGTGACTCTCTTCATTAAATAATATTCTTGGTAACGGAAAAGTGAAGGCCGCAAAATGCCTAATTCAGACAGAGATGTACTTAAAGGATTAGAGTCGAAAATGACTCGCACAATTATTGCATGTCCAGGTATTTGGTTACACTTTGTTGTATGACGGAAATTTGGTAAATATTAGTGGGTCGAAAGTTGAAAGACGAATTTAATTACCCTTCCAATACTAATACAAACTATACCTACAGCTCGTTACAGTCACATCCAACTTTAAAATCGTTTTTTTACTCAAAACGACATTCTTTCAGGGAAAAAAATTGATGGTGGAAAAACGAAAGGTAGAATTTCATTTTGAAGACACCATCTTGTAAGAAAAAAAAATGCTATACGAAGTACTATATATTTTATGTTAATTAATTGGCCTGGGAAAAAATAAAAATTCAAATAATCTATTTTTCGGTTTTTACCGCTTATCTTCGGATACATTCGGATTCTTTGGAATTTCTTGCTGGCATATTATTAAACATTAAATTACTCAGCTTTTTTTCCATTTTGACCGACCTCGAAACTCTTAAGGTACCATTTCGGAACGCGCGACAGATGACATACGACAGCAGAAGCGACGGCAAAGGAGACCAAAAACGGTCTCTCCACGTCTGAACACATGTAATTATATGAAACACATGTAATTATATGAAACACATTTTGCAAGGCGCAACCAGTGCGATGACAGGTAGATCGGTCTCAAGGTAGAGCGTTTGCTGCCTGTCGCAGTCGCACTCAGTCATCGCTTGTATTTCGAGGTGATTAGTCGATATTTTATAGAAATGGTAGTTGCAAAGTTCTTTCGATCTAGGCAGTGTTGCCAGATGAAAATTTGCTGAAACAGTATGGGTAAAAAAAACCGTAGATCTGAACAGTAGATTTTAATACGGGAGAAATAATTATAATTTGTAGTATAGTCAATAAAAAACAAGTATATAAGAAACGAAAAACAAACATTTTTCTACCCAAATTAGAAAGTAAACAACAAATAATAACATTTTTAATATATACTTGTATATACTTGTATACGGAAACAAAAAAAAAACAATGAAAAATAATAGGTATTTCTTTTAGATCAGTCTGAATCAGATAATTCAAATACGTTGTGTTTGGCATGCATGTTCTTTTTATGATGCCCTTTAATTCTTTGTTGCATTTTAAATAATGGAGCAAACCTACAGTAGTGGATGCTTATTACGCTGCTTTTACTTCAGCAAATTTACTAGAGATAATATGCTTTGACCAACTTAATAAATTAAGAACAAAACTTTTTAAGTTGGCAAAAACAGTAGATTTCATGCCTAAAACAGGAGAACAGAGACAAAAACACTGAATCTACTTAAAAACAGTAGGTCTGGCAACACTGATCGTTCCCTCGAATTGTTGTCTGCGGTTGTCACGTCGCCTGTCTCCTTGCTTCCCAAATGTGTGAAGCGTAACGTAAATGCATCGGTCTCATTTTCCGTCGCCTCTGTTGTCGTCTGTCGCGCCTTCTGAAATGGTACCTTTATGGTAAACAAAATAAAAAAATATTGATTTTATTAATGGCCATGAGGGTGCTGTGGATCAAAACTCTTAGAATACCCTCAAAAACAACTGTGAAAAATAATGACATCTGCTACATAACCGCGACTACTATAAATAATGATTTTAACTTCATTCATTTATACTTTGGCTTTAGTAGTGATTTAGATAGATAGGCAGTTTTTGATTGGTTAAAATTTGTGAGATTCACATAAAAACAGAAAGTGATGTGGCATACGCTTTTTGGTAGGCTGTTTGCGAAAAAGAAAAAGAACTTTGAACATATTGAGCGATGTTTGACTCTCAGAACTACCCCCGATTTGTTAAGAAACTGAACAGCATATATCTTGTAATTCAGTCCTAGGTACATTGCCATTGGCTTTTTTCGAATCGTTGAATGCCAGGTTACCGATTGTGTTACGGATTTCTTGCAGTATTATTTGTTATATTAAATCAATTTATCCAATTTTTTGTTTACTTTTCAGTTCAGACTTCGATCTCAGACCGTATCAGCACCGTATCGCCGGCAGATACAGGGTGCTCGATGGAAAGTCCAGCGCCCGATCAACACGACGCTCACAGTTCAGAAGAAGAGTTGGAAGTCATCAATAGTAACAGTAAAATGAGGCGGACGGGGTCCACCAGCCGCCCATTGAGGGCGGCCTCTGTGTGTCTGGCTGAGAAAAGGAAGTGGTCACAAATCGGGGATGCCCAAAACCGGAGGTGAGGATTCAATTTTAATTTCTTTTGTCTTAAAAACCTTAAGGCTGAGCCATGGGCCCCAATGGTAAAAAGTTTACTATAAGTTTAACGTGTTAATAGATTCCTATAGTATGTCCATTTCAATAAACTAAATTAAATCGACTCTGTGTTCCAATTCCAATTAATTATTATATCTACATATCTGAGAAACAATAATACTCCGGTCGATTGTCGTACGAGCGAAGAAAATAAAATCTTAGTGAATTCCAATATTTCCGTGTGAAATTGGTAACGTAGAAACGATGTCATGTTCAGTTATTTATAAAGCGATAGGTATTAACAGAAAAATGTAAATTCAATAATTATAAAGCTTATACATGCAATGTATACATATATCTAGACGTTGAAGGATCAATGAAGGTGTTTGGTTCACAAATGAACAAAGAGGACTTTTAAATTTTCCTCTTTCTATTACGTTGTTGGAAAATTGGAAGGACCTTATTTATTCAAGGATACACATGTTGGTGCTATTTTTAAATCACCAATTTCTGCCTGTTCATATTTTCTGTCATCTCCAACTTCAAGGGTGGGTAGAAGAATTTAAAAATAGCTACATCATTTTGATCCGTATTTTTTATTTTTTAGCTAATTTTTAACTGTTTCTTATTATATACCTACTCAGTTTTATCAGTTTTATAAAATCCCAATATTTGCCTTTAAAACAACATCCATCTTCTATCTTAACCAATATTTTCAGGTATACCCCCGAAAACGAAGAAAATATGTCTCACTACAGCAACTTATCCCCCTCCCCTTGTTCTCCCTACCACTTGAAATGCTGTAGTAATGAAGATGGAGGCGTTCATATTGAACATTCCGGTTCTTCAGATGACGAGGTAATGTTTGACACCTAGTTATAAAATTTACTATTTTTTTTTTGTTTTATCTTAATACCAGTCCACACATAGAAGGTAACACAAATTATCCCTAACCGAGATCAATTTGTTCTACTTCTCGTAATATATTGTTCAAATAATTCATCACACTCATGTGTTTTGGCAGCTAATTGGATATTTTTCGTATTCTTTTTTAAATTAACAAATCGAAAATAATTGGAGAGTTCATTAAAAAAAAATAACATGAAAAGACAAAAATTATAGTCTTAACATTTTATCATACGTCTAAAAATGTATTTGTATCATTATTGTTTTAAAAATATTAAAAACAAAACAAATATGACAATTAACAAAAGTGTCTACATTACAATCACTATATATTTTTCAGTTATGGTTTTAAATTAAATGATTGTGAATAAAATAGTATAAAAACCTTTGCGGAAATTATCATTACGTTCTAGGTTTAGTTCATTTCTGCGCAAGCGCCTCGGTGATTTATATTAGTCCTCGACAGTATGATGCCTTTGATCCTCGGCATGTAATCTATTTTTGTACGGCCTTAAAATTTCATAGGTTTCTTTTATGCTTTTCTCACAAAAAAAGTTCCACATCTTTGTTGTAACTAAAAATATGCCTATAGGTTCACAATTATCTAACGACGCGGGCGACTCCTGTGCAATTCCGCACGTCTCCGCCACTGGAGGCGGTGAAACCGGAACGCCGGACGGTGGTAGAGAAGGGTAGGTCCATGAGCCCTCCGGCCAAACTTCTCCATTACGAGGATTCGCCCAGGAAAAGGACCAGGCACATGAAGCACGCGCATACTCAGAGGCCATATCTCGATTTTGAAAAAATGCAACAGGTTAGTCATTTTTTTATATAGGCATTTATGTTCTTTTTGTTTTTATGTACTTACTCGATCGTCGAGTAAAAAAAATTAAGTCTTTCCCTAACATTTTAGAGATATGTAGTTGTTGGTTCCATACTAAATTTTGGCTCAGAAAAACGAAAATAATATAATTTTAAATGTTTGCAGTAATTTCTCTAGTTTTTCCTCTTCCAACTTCCTAATTTTTTTCCGCGTTTACCTTATAAATAGATTTTTAGATTTCTTGGCCGTTTATTTTCAGTTTCGAGTTTTCAACTTTGAGTTTTTCAGATTGTGGTACTCGAACTTCGAATAAAAAAACCAAAATCCATCCCATTTTAGAGATATGTAGTTATCTCAAAAAAAGAAAATGATATTTAAAATTTTCTAAAGTTTGAAGATGACAATTTTTTGTTGTGATTTTCTGATTTTTTCCTTTAGCCCCTTAAAATTTTACCGCCATTTTGACATCAAAATAGTACGATGTTAAGCGAGGAAGGATTTCCATTTCCTACGATTATAATATTAACATACGAGTAGGAAAGACAAATTTCTTGTGACTTCAACACTATATTTTTTCTACGGCTGTAGTACGCTGTTACCCATTTTTAATTTGTATTTATAATATTCAAATGACAGCTCTCTTGTTAAAAAAAATTGTGTTTATAAAAAAAAATAAAAGTTATTAATTGTAATAAAACATGAAAATGTTTCGAGCGATAAGTACAAATATATATTATTTTACACAAAAATTTTTTAAAATGAAGTTATTTTATAATCTAAAATAAATCCTAAATAAAAATGTTCAAATTAAAATTCCAATTTTTACCCCAACATATTTTTCACTTAGTATAAACTGATTTAATATATCTTTGATGATTTTTTGGCAATTTTTACTTTCCTATGTGTATACAGACAAGGAAAAAAAGCACGATTTTTGTCGATCTCGAATTTTCGACACATTTTTACGTTTTGTGGCCCCCTGAATCATTTTTGAATATTTTCGCGATGATATCTATTTGTGTGATAAACAGAAAAACATCAAATTTTAAACTTAACCTTTAACCCATTATGCGGTGAGCTGATTAGATTTTGGACATAGTCGGAGCATTGGGGGGTACTTTTTAGGGAGTCGTTTTTCTACTTTATCGAATAATCTGTTATTTACACTTGGAGAACAAAATTAGTCAAATAAAAGTTGCTTGTGAGGATATTCTCTAATTTTTGTACTATACATAATTTTCCTAAAAAAATGGTCCATATCGAGAAATTTGACAAAAATTTCTAAATTAGAATTTTTAAGAAAATTAAGAAAATAAAAGTTGGTGTGATGTGATTTTTTATAATTCTTGTCATATACATGATTTCCCTACAATCCGTATTGGAGATTTTTGAGGAAAAGTAAAAATTTGTAATTTTGAATATAACTCAAAAACGGATAAAGAAAAAAAAATAAATTTTAAACTTAACCTTTAATACATCATGCGGTGAGCTGATTAAATTTTAGACATAGTTGAAGGATCTGGGGAGGGGGGTGGCTACTTTATAAGGGGTCATTTTTTACTTTTAGGAATATCTGTTATTTAACATAGTAACATTTTTTGAGTCATTTTTTTTTATAAAATACCATTGTTAATAATTTAAAATAAAGCGATTTTTTATTTTTATTTTTTTTTATTTTTAACGGTACCTATATATATTTTAGTTTTTATTTGTGAAACATTTTTTAATAATATTTTACACAAAATTTGTATAAATTTATATTTATATAATCTAAATCTAAAATAAAGTCTGAATACAAATATTTAGATAAAATTAATCTAAAAAGTTATTTTTTTAAATATATTTTTGACGGTATTTTTTCAGCAATTTTTTTTTTTAACATTTATGATAAATATTTTTAACCAATTTTTTTTACGTTTTATAATTTTAGTATTTAATTTTATCAGATCACGTGGGATACGGATATTGTTGAAGACTCATGATACTAAACACAGTCAGGAGTATGTACAGGTATACTGTATCTGTAGCGATCACACCAATATACAGGCTTCTGCCGGTGTATCACGCCACATATAAGATAGGGCCGAAATTTGACCCTTGACTATTCGTGGACTGTATTAATAAAGAGAGTTTGAATATCTGTGCGATCCATAAGGTCTTGGAGATGTAGATCCTTGGATTCAAATGCCACCTCTTACTGAAGACTTTTTATTTAAACGCGAATGGAAATCAGTTTGATTTTAACACTAATACATTATAAACATAGAAACATACACTTTTTACTTTTTACATTATTTACAAATACATTTTTCTCGGAAACTTGTTAACTTAAGCCATGTTACTTAAATTACTTTATATTTTTTTCTAATGGTGGGCACAGCGTCCCTTTCCATCACGCACAAACGCGTGAGGTGTGCTTGATGGTTTATGAAGCAGTACTCGGAAAAGGAGACGAGACTTTAAGCGACCTTAACGTCAGCGTCATGATTTTTTAACCAATGAGGAGTGAATGACGCTCAAGACGTACTCATCTCGTGGGGAACTTTCTTTTCGGCTGAGATACTGACAGGGACAACCATAGGGGTTGTACGGAAATTAGGAATGCTGAATGTATATTGGATGTAACGTTGAATGTATATTGAATGTAATGATGAATGTAATTCAACATTATCTATTTTAAGTATTTCATTTGTAATATTTTATTTTCATTTTGACTTACTACAAACATTTTGTAATTTGTAAAACAGTTACTACTTAAATCATCTCATCTGTTGGCGAACTTGCTTTTCGGCTGAGATACTGCCGGCTACAGGGACGACTGTAGGGTTTGTTCGGAAATTAGGAATGCTGAATGTATATTGAATGTAATTCAACATTATCTATTTTAAGTATTTCATTTGTAATACTTGTTTTTCATTTTGACTTACTACAAACATTTTGTAATTTGTAAAACAGTTACTTAAATCATTGTCTTCGTACGCCACTGTCGCGAATTTTCATATTAAAAAACGTGGATAACTTTATACAATTTTCCAGCCGAAATTCTGTCTCCATTCCCTACAATGAACTGCACTTCTTATAATTAGTTTCCCGTTTTTTGCATTCGGTAATAAGCGAAAATTCTAAAAGTCTGGAAACCTCAGAGGAACTTTTTAAGTTTCTGCAGTTCAGCGTGTATAGTATATATAGATATATACGTGTATTTATCCCGAAATATAAAAGTATAAGAAAGCCGAGATTCGGTTTTTTACATCTTTTTTGTCATTACCGGGTATGAAGTGGTTTAAGCGAGGCGGTAGACGCTAAAACTCATATAATAAATTTCATTAAGTTATTTGAATGAACTATACAGGGTGAATCCTAATTTGATACTTTTTTAACTATGTATAGAAGTCGTTAAAATAAACAAATTTTTTAAATATCATTCAAGAAAAATCAAAAATAAGAAAAAATACAGAATTAAAAAAGAAAAATCCGTGTCTGGAATTGTGTGTTAAAATTTAGCTAAACAATAAGTATGTTTATATTTTTTACTTTTTTTTGTAATGAATCATGGCTACCGTATAACTGAATCGTAATTACAGTGGTGTGTTTATCTGAAGTACTTAGTGAATTTAATTTTTTTAGTACGGTAAATTAAGACAATAATAAACTTTGTGGACATTTACTTATTTATGACAAGTGTCTTCAAAATGCAGCTGCTGCGTCGGTATTGTACAGTGAACGCTTTTCCTTGAAAAGTGTGGTCAACATTGCGGGAAATTTATTGTATCCATTTCACGTTTAACGTGTTCAAGCACTAAAACTTGAAATTATAATAAGTGTTCAAACCGGTGACCTTCAGCAGTGATCCAATTATTATTCTCTAACATTCTCCGTTCTTATGCTTTCCTTCAACCGTTTTAGACTATTTTGTCGACATTGGTAAACGTTGCCCATACAAAAAGATCCAACAAAATCAAATCTGGAGAACTTGGTCGCCATTCGATCGATCTTCTACCTCCCATCCGCCTATCTTGGAAATAATGAATTTATTCAATATATTTGCATCATACTGTACATATTTCGTCTCGCAAGGCAACAACAAACAGCAAATGAAATATACTCAGTTTAGAATATATTTGAAAGGAGTTGGACCGCGACCTTTTTAGATCTATTGTGGGACTTCGCTATTGAGAGTATGATGTTGAGCTTAGTCTTTTTTTATTAGATTTAATAGCTTTGACAGTGACTGCCGCATGTAGTTCCATGGGTCTGGCCTTTCTTCACCTAATGTTAGAAACCTCAATCTGTCCCGGCCTTTACACTGACACAAGACGATTAATTTGTCGTTTTTGATCCAGAAGTTCTTTCGTGAACTTGGCTGACGGTTCCCGAATGAACTCTTTGTCCTGTCTCATCTTAGATAGTTCCACCATTCCTTATACTTTTGCATCTATTGTTTGATGAATGCCTTGTACAATGCATTAATGCTGCGGCCACACAGAGTGCGATGTTCGCTATGTTCGCTACGTCCATTAAAAATATCTCCCATTATTATAAACGGACGTGGTCACATAGATGTAAGACGCTACGTTCGCTATGTTATGTAGCGAACGTAGTGAACATAGCGTAGCGCTCAGTGTGGCCTCAGCATAACAACTCCACAGAAGAGTTTGGGATCTGTCATGGCCTTATCTGAGCCTTCTCGGGATAGTTCATCGTCCTTTTCGTTGCCCTGATATCCATCGTAGTCTGTCACCCAAGCTAGAAATATACTATATTCTTATAAAAACGTTTACATATTGTATACCCCATAATTAAACTAGAGACCAATATATTCGTATTAGCTATCATACAATCAAAACATAACCTCAAAATAATCAATAATAATCAGTTACAATTTCTACAATAACTCAGATAGGCCAATTACGTTCCTAAAAATGACGCAGTTTTAAAGATTGGTGACAAAAGGAAAACTGATAATAAATAATAAATCTATAATCATCAAG